GATTTCAATCAAATTTGCACACCGTGTGCGGTTTGATCTAACTTAAAAGATAGGATAGCTTACAACTCAATTTATACCCACAATATTATTTTATTGCAAAATATTTGTTTAATATTTGACAGTCACAATTCTAACAGATGGCGCTGTGTTGAAAGTACCAACGTTTCACATAAGCTACAATTTAATGACATTACCACCATAAAAGCATGGTGGTCCCCATGATTGGTGTTCTCCTACCGTTTCCCTTGAAAAACTTCTAAAATATTTTTTAAAGGTGAATTCATAACAAAAAGGGAGACAATTGTGTAAGGGTTGGTTGTTTATTAATTTATTTACTTCGTTTTTACTATATTTTTATTTGATGTTGTTTACCAAAATTAGTATTTTAGTTGTATTGACTAACTAAAATGGATCTGTATTATCTAATTGGAATAAATTATTATTATTATTGAATATGACTTAATTTTTATTTGAACCATAAAGCATTAAGTTTTTAATAATAATGCTAGGTTTTAATTTATATAGTAATCGCACTTCTACGTATATACATTTCTCTATTTATCTCTGGGGAAATTACCGTTTTAATTCTTAAAAAATGTAATTCTAAGTCAATACCAAGCTCACGCGTCAAATCACAATACCCTTAGTTCCCTTCGATATAAGTCCTAATTCGTGATTTAAGAGGTTTAGTTTAAATCTTTGCTAGTTAAAGTATTATGAAAAGTAACTTAGTTTAACGTTGTAATTTATTTAAAGATCTATACTATTTGTGGCGTGCAAAGAAAATGTGGGTAGTACAGCTTATGCAAATCTAAACAAAGCGTCTTTTAGCGGACAGTTTGGCGACGGGCCAGAGGTTTACTTTGGGTGACAATGATAGGCACTGCGGCTTTATTATCTGGCGATGCAGCGCAAAAGGGATCATTTTTTTAAGTACCTGTTACTTAGACTGCTGATTTACTAAGGGTCCTTTAAGAAAAGAGCGTACCAATACTTACTACAACGCACTCGCGAGCCCTGAGGCATTGAGAGTGTCCATGGGCGGCGGTATCACTTTATATCAGGTGAGCCTCCTGCCCGATTACCCCATGTTCTAAAAAAACTCGCATTGTTTAGCGTCATATTTATAAAAGCATCAGGAGCCCCAGATAAAATCTATCGCGACAGTAACTGATATCTAAGTTAGTATCTGATTATTTAAGTGAGTACGGAATTTTTGTCAGAATAGTTCTCAGTTAAAAATTAAAATTAAATTGTTCTATTCGCTGTTCATGAATCTGTAAAATTAGCTTTTAAGTTTTTAGTTTGTTATTAATATTTTTTTTTGTATTACGTTAGATTAAGGTTCTATATATATATTTTTATATAACATTTGGTTCTGCACTTCACGCACTCATTATGTTTCTTTTTTTTAGTTTTTCTCTTTAACTAGGGTTGCCTGGAAGACATCGCTTATTAGCGATAAGGCCGTCCGTTGCATCCCTTATAATTTGTATGTATTGTGTTTCTTTTATTTTTATTGCAACGAAGTGTAAATAAATAAAAATTGTAACAGCTGTAATAAGAGCCGTTTTTCAATAACGGTGAGAATTCGAATCAACTGAGCTACGGAAACATTTCATAGTACATTAAATGTTGAATAAAATATTTACCAGAATATAACTACTAAATACAGTTCACACCTACGACATTTATGACTTGTTGTAAAAATGTAAACCGAAATTTAAATATCGAGAAATAGGTTAAATTAAATATAAAAACCTATCATGTGAAGAAAACATGAATATATTGTATGTATGTCAGTCTTTATCGATAAAACAAAAAAAATGTTTCCTGCAAAATCAAATAGATTTTTCGAATAAAAAATCATATTCAATCATTGTTCATTCAATGTTTTTGTAATTTCACTTTATCAAGGTGTTGTTCAAACCGGCTTATCATTTATGCAAATTCCTCAAAAATCTTGCAAAAAGCAAAGGTTGCAATTCTGCGCATTGAATAATACGCCATTTAAGGTGTGTAAATACTTTAAATTAAATTTATTCTCGCTTCACTTCTTGTACTTTGTCTTTAATTGAGCTTTTTGTCTGCACTTTCTGGTTTTTGTCATGTCAGGTTAATTTATTTATTTTTTCCTTACAAGTAACATATTATTTATTCGTTCTCCAACAGCATGATAAAATAAAAGGTATATTTTGTGGAAAACGCTTCCATAGGTCGCTTTGTTACACTTATTCAACGCTTTTAGATCGAGGGCCTTAGGTCCACATTCGAGGGAAAGTGATTTGGATTGGAAGGAGGCAATTAATAGGCTGCAAATTGCACTCATTTATTTTCCGTGTCAACGTTTTTTCTATTAAGTTAATAATAACTTTTTTTTTTGAAAACGCACGGTGCGGAGTCTTGTGTCTCTACTGGAGTGTTGGCCTTGCCCAGACAAAGCAGCCAACGCGATTGATCATCTACAATTACAATTTAGAACGATTTAGGGATTAATGATCGCAATTAAATTTATAGTATTATTACGATTTGTTTATAAAATTAATCATGAAAAATATATTTCTTTCTCGTTTTTTCCTAAAAAAAATTGTTAAAGAAGCTATAAAAATAATAACAATTAAGATTGTGTTGTCGTTTTAAAGGTAAAAATCAATATAATTGACTTATAACCAAAATGCAGTACTTGTAATGAGTCATCGAGGAAATAGGTCAGTGGCGATGTACCGTGCTCGTTCGTCTAAGTTTGTTTCTAGGTTACGTCACAAGTAGACGCCGACCAAACTAAAGCGTGCCGACTACCGATTTCATATCAATACAAATCTACTATATATAGGTTAAAGCAGACTTCAATAACGATTCGATTTTTAAACCACGAATTTGAAAGTGAAATAAAAATATTCGACCATAAACAATAAAGTTATGGTAATTCATAATAATTGATCTGTAATGGTCATCGTTCCCATTATAAATAATAATTAATCACACTCCTTTTGACGTCTTAAATCAAGCAGCTTGTTTTAGTACTTTTCCGCAATGTCAGGGAAAAACTTTCGCTAAGTTATGTGAATTATAAATAATGTAATAAACTCGCGTTTATATTCCTTGAAGAAGTTCTATTTAAATTTTACGTAACCTTGACAAAACATACCTATTCATCTAAATCTTTTTCTCAATGTTACATAGATAGAGAACATCATGTATATTTGAATAGTATTTAGTTGTATATTAATCTATTGTATGTAATAAATGCTAGTCATAACCAGCCAGCACTTCATTAAGTTTGAAATACACCCAAAATCTACTTTTTAAAATAGGTTTCAACAACTTACAGAACGATTTAAAACAAACATTGTTATGAAATTATTTTAGAAATTATGGAAGTTTAATAAAAATTTGCAAATGTTTATTTTTGTAGTGGTCGATAAAAATTCATCGTTCAAATTCGCGCCAAACCGCCGGCATCGCGGCCATCTTCCTTTTTAATTTTGGCGCCATTAAAATAATTAGAAATGTCACTGAAGCTGAGATATGGGCGTGTCGGCCGAAGAAGACTACAAATTTAGTAAGTCACTTACTATGCTACAAAATTTTCGGCCGGGACACAAAATAAGGCAACGCAGAAGAGGCTAAATACGACGCCATTTGCTTATTGTTGATGTAAACAAAACGGACAATAAAAATCCAATTAAAATTCTCATAAAATATCCATTTGAAACATTCACGGTATTAAATATATTCCTAAATTAGACTGTCAATAATCAGTCTATGAGGTTATGTACGGGAATGACATAAACCGGTGTTTGTGTTATGTTAATAAGCCAGTAAGTCGTCCGGCCGAAAAGCGCACCAGCTTGTAAGACAATTTTTTTATGCTTACGGCTTACTAAGTTTGTAGTATTACTTCGGCCGAACACGCCCATTGTGAATTAGATAAGAGAGAGTTTTATTTATTTAATGTTTAATATAGTTCTAATTGTGGTGGATTTGGGAATTATTATTAATTTAAGTAGGTATAGATTGAAGATATTTTGTTTTAATTTCTACGGGAAATTTTAAGTTTTATAATATATGAGTTGTGGCCATCCAAGTTTTAAATATTTAGGCCCAACCATAGAGTTTTTAATTTGTATCTTGTAAAAAATATAGGGAGAATTAACGATATATTATATACGATTTAACTGACTTGTAAAATGATATAGAACATTGTAAACATGCTTAAATTGTAGTAATGTTTTTAAAACTAGGTTAATACGTTGGCCTAATTTACAAGGTCACACTCAATTACTGACCTTAGCAGCTTATAAACGTTTTTACAAATCGTATGCAAAGGCCACTTAAAAGGTTTTTTATATAAAAAAATGCATATTTGACATGATTTAATTCAGTAATTATTTACGATTTCACTAGTGAATTTTACATTCAGACAATAATAAATATGTCACAAGGGTCTGTATTCCAAAACGTAAATGAAACTCTGATTTTATGCCGATTTTAACAAGTGAAACAGCGCTCTAGACTAGATTTAGACTTGAGAACGTTTATGGAAATTGGGCTTTTGGGCGTATTCCACTGTGCCTTACAACCGATTTCTTCGGAAATTGAACTTTAAAAAGCTTACAAACTTAGTTATTTATCAATGCGCTAAATAAGATTTAATTCAAACCGAGAATAATTTCTCAGAAATTTTCGATGTTGATCTATTTTTTGTTATTTTAATGCTATAAAGCTTAATATATATAAATTCAAGCCTAAATGGATATCATAATATTATTCATGTAACTTTATACCATCTAGATATAAACTTACATACAAGGAAAACAGCTGTTAACGTATATGGAATTATTGAATAAAATTTTCAATAAATCAAAGTAACCTTAATGTTTCACTCAAACATTTCAATGACTACTAAAAATAGCAAACACGAAACCGTAAGCTAATTAGTAAAATTCCAAGAATTTTCATAACCAATGAAATCCAGTGTGATATTGTCCTTAAGATTTTTATTGTTTTTTTTTGGAACAGCTGTTGCGTGAGTCACAGGCCACGGCACGTGGCATTGACCAGACGTACGAGAACTCGAATACCCGACCCTGAATCTGATCGTGGATTAAGAAGAGCCGTAACCAAAATTATTCGCTCTAAACGAAACGCAATGACGTGCGAAATAATCTACTTACATCCGCGTAAATTTGGCATCAATACAGCTCCATTTAAGTAACTATTTGTGTTAGTCATGAAATTCATAAGAATTTAATTTCTTTCTATTCTAGTTTATCACCTATATAAAAGAAATATATCACGCATATTTATTTTAAAATGAAAACTCAAAGTACTTACGTTATGCTGGTGTAGAGTCAATATCACGTTGTCAAAGGCTGATGCATTAGATAGTGCTTCGGAACTGCCACGCAAGAGCTCCGCCAACAAGTCTGTGCCTGGTTTGACTCCCACTAATTTTGAAGGGGAAGAAGTTGCTCTCACATGGGTGTGACCACGTGGCCGTGAATCTGATGTAGGTGCGGCACCAGCACTTATTTTCCGACTGGGAACGGTCTCTGAGAAGCTTCTTCGGCCAACCTCCACTGATCTACATGTTGGAGTTAAATTTCTTCCAAACGGGCGTGTAAATTGCTGTCTCTTTGCTTCCACGTCAGATGTATCAGATGGGCTATATGGGGACGGTGAAGCTGTACGGTCACGAGAGCACGTATCGCTTTCTGCTTCAGAGGGAGAGTCACCCCTAGATGTAACACCATACTTTCGACGAGCTACACTTCTATAAACTTCATCATCTTTCTCGTCAGAACTTTGCTGAGAAAATCTTGCTCGTCTTGCTCTAAGCGTTTCGTCTGTTTTAGGCCACATCGGCATCGTGGAATCACTTGGGCTCGGAGGGCCGTTCGTAAATGAATCGTCTGATTTGTCACCCAATAAAGACGAGGTTCTAGTTTCTGCTGATAATCTCATGTCTTGTAAGGAAGCATCACTGCTTTCTCGATTACATCCATTTACAGGTGGAGGAGGGTCATCACCACCGTCGTCACTAGCTGTCGTAATGTAAATTCCTTTTCTTCTTTTGGTTTTGTCTAGAGGTCTCCGTCTTTCTCGAGCACCAATTGGTGCTGGCGTACACGGGTTTTGCACGGCAGCTAATAAATGCTCCACTTGCTCACTCGTTATAGTTTCATCTTCTTTATCTCGATCTAAAGACCCGTCTGACGCCGCATCAGAACGAAATGCTTCATCTGGCTGAGTATCCTTAGACCACTGTTTCACTATGCACTCATACACAGGTATAGGAATAGGAATAGAACTGTCCAATTCTCCCGTAGATTCCTTACGAGTCTGAATATTAGCACATTCACAGTCTACATTAGCACACGAATTTGAAGGAGGAGCGGGAAGAGGCGGGAATGCAAATGGTTGAGACGGTTCTAAGGGTGAGGTTCCTTCACTATGCGCCTGCGCACTATCTGCCTGCGAACCGTCACTTTCCTCACGTAATTCATGCAAAACACGCGGGGGCATCAACGCAGGTAAACTTCCACCAGCATCGGTCGAATCCTCTTCGCGTACTGACGGTACGCGGCGCGGTAACGGATGTGTCAATGAACGAGCACCTAATTGTTTATGTAAAGCATCTGGAGGCGGAGATCGCGCAACCGGTAGCGCATGCGCAAGGAGTCCTTCATCCGAACCTACCGCAGAATCCACCGATGCAACGGACCCACCTTCAGTCGCATTTTCCTCTGTAACACTCGCGGAACAATCACGACGCAAAGCACTTTCAGACGTGTTGGGAACGCGTTTACCAAAATCAAAAATAGACGGTTGTTTACCACGATAATACTTGTCCTGCACAAAATCACCTTGGGAGAAAGAAGCACTGCGGTAAGGAATAGTTTTTTGTGCATAGGATCCAATAATTGAACGAGGTTCGACTCGTATCAGGGTAATTTTATCGGCGTCAAAGTCATCACAACGATCAACGGAGACGCCACGAGATGGACTATGTCGGTGGCGTGATCGTGGCGGAGGGACAGGCGGCAAGATGGGTGCGGTGTGTGGAGGCGGCGGCGGCGGCGGCGGAGGTGGAGCAGGCGCGGCGTGGGCTCGGGGAAGAAGCCGCTCTGTGAAGTCCTTTAAGCGCTGTTGGCGCGAGGGCCGCTCGTCGCGCGTGGCGCGGCCCAGGCGCCGCTGGAAACGCTCCAGCGTGCGGCGGTCCGGCTTGGAGCGGCCGAGGCACGCCGCCACCGCCTCCTCGGAGCAGCAGCGGCAGGGGCAGGCACGCGGCGGGGGAGCGCGGCGAACCGTGTAGCGCACCGCGCCCAGCGTCACATACGGCGACCTGCGCAGACGCAGATATATTTAGCGGGAACGTGCAACCCGCCGAGCGGTCGAACGGCGAGTGTGACGGATTTAGAGTGGAGTGTGGACGAACTTTTCTGCGACTTGTTGCTGAATTCCGGGAGGATTCCCCGCGACCCACTATGATTTAGTTTTATTAGAATATTATTCGCATATATGTTTTCTATTTACCTATAACTATTAAAGAATATCTAATAAGACTTTTATTAAATTATGACACCAACACAGAGTGAGCTTTGAAGCGGCAGGTGGCAGACAAACAGACGGAAGACATTGAGTATAAATAGTTGACTTGGCGATTTGGCAACAGGTTGATCTCCTCCAATGTTTACATGTCATACTTTTTCGTTGCAAAGGGCAAAAACTACATTTATTATCTAATGAAACGATATATATATAAGTTAACACAAATTATTTAAAGACCAAGTGCAGACATTGGAGAGTACTCCTCCGTTCTGCCTACACGTGAAATATAATTTAGATTGCAGTAAGTATGTATTCTTAATGCACTGACTCATGTCTTATTTATTCGTTTAAGCAGTGATTGAAACAAATTTTAAAAATATTTTTGTTGTCTCTCTCGTTTAGATGCTAGACTCATTCCTTTTTCATCATTAAAGAAAATTCAAATAGTGGCAATTAATCAGTCAATGTATAGAAATAAACCAGTTCAATTAATATAGAAACTAAAAAGTAATGAACACTTAAACAATTTGAAAATTTACAGTACAACCTAATAATAATATAAAATTCTAATTGAATCAAGAGCAATCTGAATAATTGGCGTATCTCTTCCGTAAAGCTTCATTTATCGTAAAATAGCATGTTACAATTCAACCAGTTTTCAGGTTTAATTGTCACACAGAAGATAGATTTTATAACTAGAAAAACAAAATAAAAACTTATATACAGGGAACCTGTTGAAGTCGCGTCTCCTTCGGACGCCATCTTGCGGGGAGCGCGCGCGCGCGTCCGTCGCCATTTGTGATCACGTGACACCGCGCATACTGCGTGCTCCTACTGGCAGTCCTGAAACAATGCATTGTGCTGATGTTGATAGATGCTTGATTGATAAAATTAAAACAGAAAAAACATCAAATACAAAAGACACATTAAATTTTTAAACAAATATTTTTTAACTTCGTTATTTCATTACGATTTATAAGTGTGAAAATTAATAATGGAGTAACGTTTTGTATCTTCTGTCTTATTATAGTTTAATACTGTCATTGTAAATATAGTGTGGCATATATAAATGTAATAAAGCAAGAAATATTTAAACATCAAGTCAAACATAATATATACAGACATCCGTGCGTTCAAAGCATTGTTATAAATGTTAAAACCATTTATATCACGTCAGATTAATTCATTTCAAATGAACATTAATTGTGGATATTTAAACAGATACGAATTGAAATTGGGTCAACAAAGACATCAGTGACCTCATTTAATTTTATATTCGACACAACTTGACACAATTTATCGTTGTCCGAAAATCACAAAATTATTAAATTAGCTTTCTCAAACGATTTGAATATATTCTAGCTGATACCCAGGTTTATGTTGAAAACTTTATTAAAATTTAACTTAACTGTTGTTAGTTTTTGGCAAAAAGCCTTTTTATAAAAAAGATCGTATCCGTTACCCATACATTCTATTATATCATTATCATATTTCTACAGATCATTGAAAGCGGACTATCGAGAACAGACAATTTCACATTCCTATTATTTAATACAAATATTAAATATTATACGGTCTTAAGGTCACTTCTTATACGTGGGTTTATAACAATATCGACTCAATGGCTTTGACCACTAACTAAAACACATACAGTAAATATAAGGATTTTTTTTAATCCAGCTTTAGTTCACCATTATTATAGTCAATAATAATGGAGAACTAATATCTATATACTATAAAATCTCGTTATAGTATATAGTAACCTATTGCAATAGATTAACTGGTACATATTAGTCAGGTAAATACCTGACACGCTAAAAAATGGTATTGGATAGTGGATTAAGCGTGAAAATCGCACGCTGCGGTTCTGCCCAACAGTATACCTTTTTGCACAATTAACTCTTGTTAGTGCAGTGTAAGAAAATGTCAAGGCGTCTTCTGTGTCAGACGGAGAAGGCTGAGCATTTGTCTATAAAATAAAATGATCAAAAAGCAGATGTATGTAGATCTAAAGCCAAGACACCTTTTTAGGCTTGTATCGCCAATGGATGATTATTATTACTGTTTACTCTAAAATCGTTAAACTAAAAACTTATTACCTGCAAATTTTAGTTTAAATATAAATGTGTTAAATGTAGAAATAATTAAGTAAAATACTGTTTACATGTCGAAAGGAAGAGCCAGGCTGCCCATAACACAGGGAATCCAAGTGTAGGGGCTAGTGCATTTTACTTTATCTAAATATCCTGTACATTAAGTATAATAAAGTTTTTTATTTCTTTCTTAAATAAATTGCCATTAAATTAATGATAAAAGTCGTTTCATAATAATGAAAAATCGTTTGTACAAAAGTTCAAAACCACAGAAAATTTCACAAAGAGGTTTTGCAATTACACGCATTATCTCGTTTACTTTGATCTTTGAAACAATGCCGACGTCTAATAAAATGATATCCAAATTTAATGTGAAAATAAAGTTTACATCGCATAAACGACATTCTTTTAAAGAAACATAATGAACATTTTAATTCTGTGTCATATTCTGCAATTCCTTTGTTCTTCCCACTTATCCAAAAAATGTGGAAAGGTTACAACGGAGTATTATAAAGTTTAAATTGTCACTTACATTTACATTTTTACACTTTTTCATTGAGTTATATTGTATCGTTAGAAATTTTAATTTTGCTGTATTTTTTGGGCAAAAATATTTCTATTTGATATAGCATAGTTATTGTTTTGCAATAAGTATTATTGCTTTTTAAGACATGAGTCAAAATATTGTACAGGTACATAATATGTATTAAATACGGCGCATTACGTTTAAGTCAAATTATCGTAAAATACATTTATGAGACAGCCTTAAGATTGTAAGATAATATTATCTTCAATATACAAATTGAAAAATGATTGAATAATTCAATGTTCATTTAATGTTAAAATAACTCAATAAATATTTTATCAAGACTGCTAGCGACATCTATGTTGCAGAATTAGCTGAAATATATTTGTAAGTGTAGGGCAGATTTGTATACGCTTATGGGCGGGCGGAATTTAGAACTACTTTCATTCAAGTTCTACAGACTGCTGGTAGATGTCACTAGTGGTACATAACCTACGAATACTAAAGCAATATTAAAAAGAAGAATAAAATGGTTTGTTTCGTACTTTTATCTACACCTTTGTTTTAATTTTAATGTTTAAAGTTGATGAATTAGGTAAACCTATATATATTGATATCAATATAGACAAGAAATAATGGAAAGATCAATTGTTAGCTACAACTCATATAACCCAACTTTTAGCCCAACTTTCAGCTTTTTAATTAAAAGCAATTATTTAGTTTTACACAAAATTTAAGATATAAAATATTAAGTACTTGGAGTATGCATCCAAAGTATGGATTTTTCTACTAGTTAGAGACGCTTTCAGCAAGCTGAAATCGTGGAAAAAAATCCAGTGGAAAAAATCGTGATACGTTCCAGTCAACACGTCTTTCAATCCAAAGTTTCGCCGGAATTGAACTCAGGACTTGGTTAACCACTAACGTAAAGTAAAGGTATTCTATTAAAATGTACCCTTCATAACGTAGTGACTCAGAATACGGATATTTCAGAAATGCAATAATTAAAGACGTATTTGGTCTTAAGCTTCCGCAGTAATTTAAATCTTATCTCCAAAGCTTCAGATTAACTCTTTAGGCATTTTATGTGACATTATATAAATATTGCTGCAAAATAAAATGAGATACTGAGGCGCCATCTTACTTGATATCGTATCAATTAATAACTTCATTACAAGGTTTATAATAAAAAGATGTATGACACTTATGTTGGACATTACGGTAATTAATTTATGATCTTAATAAACAAATATATTAACTTTTGTATTTAAAAAGAGTAACTAGAATCTTCCTTTCACTCGTGAGAGATTTCTGTTTTTAAGATGACTTTTTTAATTAGTTACGGGCATGCTACACGTTCCAATAAAACCTATTAACAGAAATAAACACGGATTTATGCATTATTAAACTCGACACTTTGAGACTCTTCACATCAGCCATGTCATCCAGTTTTTTATAAATAAATCACATTTCTATGGACGTACATAAAACACAACTTTACTGTATATAAAGCATTAAGATAATCTAATATAATTAATATCATAGATCAAGTAATACGTAGGTCTAACCTTGAAGTGCAGTCATTCGTGTGCCACAAACCACAACATCAATGTGAACGATTTATTATATTAAACCTATTTAATTTTTTATCACCTTTTTTAGCTTAACGAGGCCTTAAGATCCATTTATTGGTATAAATGAAATACTTACCTTACCTTATATAGATCTACAATTAATAATTTGTTAGATAAAATCGTATTTAATATTTAATTTGTAATAATATACCAATATCTATTTTAAATTTGATTAGTTCTAATTTAGAAATACTACAATTATATTATAAGCTACATAATTAATGTTTTAATGACGAACTTTTTCATAAAATTGTTTCACTGTTGTTGTAATCATTCTTAATTTAATTTACAATATCCACCAAAACTAATCGGCACTTATAATAGACTATGAGGTCATAGTTTTAAAATAACGATAGGTGTGCAAAAACCTAATAAAGCTGATAAAACGAAGAAAAGCACATCTGGCACGGTTCCACACAGCGAATGTCATCCATAAACACATAATGTCCCAGGAATTAGGTTATAAATTGAAAGATAAACGTAAATTAAATGCATCGCCTCGTAAAAGAATACGTTATCTATATAACCAAGTTCCGAGGAGTGATTTCTATTTAAAACTTTGATAGTGACGTTCGGTGAGTGGGCTTTTATTACCTGATATAGATTTAGTGGTTGTAGATGTGGCGTTTGAGGTCCTCGTGGCTAAGCGTTTTCGTAACGTCAGCGGAAATTAAAATTTGTAATTAGTTCTCCGCCTCATATGCATTGTAAGGATCCGGTTCATCCTCTTATATATTGGGCACAGTGAATACAGTGACTATCATATAGTTAGATCAATTTTGTCACAACCAGATTTTGTAATGAATAAAGTTTATTATTATTAATATTAATAATATTTTCTGTTATAATTGCAGTCCAGCAATTGAATTCTCATGTGAAATATCAAGGCCCTGAATATCCTAGACTTATAAAGACTTTAAAAAAATTGTTGCTTTACAGTACAGAGTAGTTGCAAGACTAATGACTTTTAATGACAAGTGCTAACTCAGTATTGGAAAATGTTATAACTATGATATTTACGATGGCACTTGTCTTATAGACACGCCCGTAACTAATTAAAAAAGGTAATCTTAAAAAAACTCTCACGAGTGAAAGGAAGATTCTTGTTTCTCTTCACTAAAATATTGACTTTTTATTTATTAAAACTAAATCAGTATAATGACCCTTTTAACTAAAGTAATCATGTCGCTTTTCAGTGTTAACACAATTTGACAGGAAAAGACCACAGACAGCATGATTGAACAGTGCAGTATGATTGAATGACGAATGAATATCCTTTTATATGAAAGAGTGAAACGAGTCTGATTCAGTTTTTGTAAAAAAAATAGATACACTGGTTGAAATGTAACATGCATCTATTTATTTTATAAAGTCTCATATTATATGCGCTAAGTTTAAAATGTTTTGATCAGAGGATATATTTAGCGAGAAGGTAGGAGTTATTGCTAGAATAAAAGCTCAGCTTTAATAAATAGTGAGTCGTATTACACTTTACTATTCTAAAGCAGCGTGTTGGGCGTTGAGTCACTCTTTCATAGAAAAT